AGCTCGGCCTCGCGCCCCGCCGCGCCCTCTGCGTCGTCCGGCAGCAGCCCGGGCGGCTGGAAGCTGGCGAAGGCCTCCCTCTTGGACTTGAGGACGACCGGCCGGCCGCGCCACTCGGCCTGCAGCACCTTCTTGCCCCTCTCGTAGTACAGGCAGCGCTGGTAGCGCAGGGTGGCCGCCACGCACAGGTCCTCGCACAGGTCGCCCATGAGCGCGCCGCCCCGGTAGTCCCGGCACTGGAAGGAAGGGGACAGGGGTCAGGACGCGGGAGAGGAAGGGGACAGGCCGGCCCCGCGACCGGGGGAGCTCACAGTCCACCTATGGGGAGGAACCGGCCAGGCAGCAGGCCACTCAGAGAGCGAGTTCAGAGAGGGGCCGTGCGGTCCTCCAGGCCCAGGGTTGGTGTTCAGAGGCAGGACAGCCCAGTGTCCTGGGAAGACCTGACACTATGACACGCCGGGGGCACGGGCTGGGCCAGGCCCGCGGCCCTCAACTCGGCCTGTGCCTTGGGATGGCGGGAGAGCGTCCAACAGCCCTGCCGAGAACAGGACCGGCCTGCGCTGAGGGTTCGCAGGATCCTGCCCGCCTGGGGTCTACCGCAAGGCCCTTGCAGCTGGAGCTCACGGGCTGCTGTTTCAGACAGAAAGTGGTTCCTGCTGCTACAGGGACCCAGGCTGGGTGGGTTCCAGGTGATTGGAGGGGAACCGAGGGAAGACGCAGCGGTCAGACATGGCCAGCCACGCGCGTCGGAGAGTCCGAGGCACCAGAGGGACCTCGGGACGCATTCTGGCACTGTACGGAGAGTGTGAGGACACGCCGGGTCTCCTAACCCTCAGGTGTATTTCCTTAGAATGCAGCCACTCAGTGATGCTCCCCCACACTTCAGAGTCCCTAAGAAGACTGTCACCTGCCACGCCTGCCGGATGGAGGACAAAGGGGCGGGGTGTAGGACAGAATGAAAGGAGCTGGTAATCTGTCCTCATCTTTATGAAAACCTGAATCCTGGGCACATGCTGAGCAGCTAGCTGGTCAGGCTCCTCCCAGGCCTTACAGCAGGGGTGAGCACAGATGGTAAGGAGCGAACTTCCTCATCTCACCCACTTCCCCCACAAGTCAGTCTCATATCAGCAAATAAAGACCTGCCTCCCTTCCTGGAGCTTCTACAGCTCAGACGAGGGAGTCGCCCCAGTTCTCAGAAGGTCGTAAGATGCATATGAAATCTGGAACTCGCAGTTCTCACCCTTGGTCATTTACGGTGAGGGCCTTGGGTGTCAGCAGGGGCAAATGGGCATCGTGCACATGGGACAAAGGACTGGACAGGAGCCAGGAACCGGGAACTCCGGCTCTGATGGTGCTGCGATGTCCTTGGCGTGCCCCTAACTGCCTGGGGCCGGCAGTCCCTCCCTGTCACCCTGTCTGCCACCCTTGCATAGTTACCACACGGGCTGAGAACCGTACGTAGGAACTACAGGTGCGTCCGAGCCCAGGCCTCCTGAGACGCCCTTGAACTTTCAGTGGGGCACTGTTGAAGGCAGCTGGTTGCATCCCGTTGGCCAGCCTTATTAACCCTAAGTACATTATAAGCAGCTTCTTGATGTCACAAGCTTAGCTCCAATGCCTATACCGATAAATAATTGCAACACATCAAAAAAGCTCTAAAAACTGCATGTTTTTCATGACACATTTGGCCTCATGTGATGTCAAACCCCCATCAAAAAACTATGAGGCTATTTCTGCCTGTTTGTGTTGCCTGGTGTGCATTCGGATGCATTTCGCTACAGAATAATTTGTTTGTTTGCTTGCTGGTGCTCCCCTGTATGCAAAATATGAAGTATGTAAGTACCACATTGTCTTTCGAACATTCAGAAAAGTTTGAATTTTAAAACATGCCTGGCTCCAGAAGAGTTAGATAAGAGGTTGGGGACCATAGGCAAATTATTCCAAGCACTTATTAAAAGGTACTCTCAGTGCTTAAAAGAAGTATGTAGAGGCCAGCAGCAGGGTAGGGGGGTTAAGGCGCTGGATCCCACGTGGCCTACTTCGCAATTCAAGTCCTGACCTGGCAGCTTGAAAATCGTGCCGGGCACATGTTCATGCATGCCCAGAATTCCAAGAAAAGAATGGAGGAGAAGGGGCTGTGGCATGGCCACCCCCCAGGGAGTGACTTCTCACTTTCCCTATCTCTCTCCCTCTGATAAGCACATCTGCCCTATAGCAAAAAATCTAAAAAAAGAAGAAGTAATAGATTTTCAGGACTATTTCAGGCAGCATCTCAACAACAGCCTGAAAAACCGAAGCCAGCCCACTGAAGCTGGTCAGTCTGGCTTCCTGCTGGGGAGGGCCTTCTGCCGGGCTTCAGATCTTGTATATCAGGGGGAATGGGGGCATT